TATCTTCTAGAACAGACCTAATAGCAGAATCTACTCACCTAAACTCTCCAGCGGCAGCCATTATTGTTGTCACCCAAGCGCGCTTTGGTCACGTGGTTGATAACGTTACTCTTGATCATCTGTCCATCATCGTATAAAGCCCGCCCTGACAATTTTATTGGATCGCCTGACAGTGGGCGATAATACTCGCGCTACTATGGAGCAGAGCCAGACCGAACTTCCCCGACCTCAAACTTTGTGGGCGGGACTAAGTTCGGAATGGCACCCAGGCTAGAGGATTAGGGCCACTGGGAAAAAAAAAAAGTTAACTGATTTTCAAATTTTATTTCAGTTAAGTATAGGAAAAAAGTCAGAATTCTGAGTGTATTCTGACAATAAAATAAAGTCAGAATTCTGAGAAAAAAGTCAGAATTCTGAGAAAAAAGTCAGAATTCTGACTTTTTTCCCATACTAAACTGAAATAAAATTTAAAAATCCGTTAACTTTTTTTTTTCTTCCAGTGGCCCTAATCCTCTTCCGTAAAATTATGCGATTGATCTTGATATAAAATTTGTATCGTTTGATAGCCCTAGTTTAAATTCATCAGCCCACCAGATGACTCTGGTGAAAGAGTAAAATTAGGAATTACAACCCAAATAGAGATGTTAAAAGCAAAAGTAACTCCTTCTGTCACATTATGAGGGTGTATGAAATTATGTATGTTTTGAAAACATATGCCCACCTAATCCATGGTTCTTCAGTCTTTGTACATCAGAGGGAGAAGGGAGAACGTCAATATTAGGGCCAGAAAGCAAGAGAGTGTTTGTCTTCCATACAGGGCTTGGCAGCCTCCCAACCGAACCTGCAGTGAACAGAATCACACCACTGATCCACCATAGATGCTAAATGATATTCTATAACATCAAGTGTGCCAACTGGGGTTGTCACTTTTCTTAACTTTCACTAAGGACTATTTCTCATGTAGATATTGAAAATTGTGCAATTGCCAAAGTAAACCACATTATTTGTTATGTGTGTTTTTTTGATAATGACGAGATCAACAAAATTACTCATGCATAAAAAAAAATGTTTGCCAATGAAGAACTTACCCAGAGAGAGTGGTGTATATAAGGTGCTTTTAAGTAACACTACAAGTAGGGTTGTCAACCGTCCCTTCAAAAAAGGAATCATTCTGTATTTAGAAATCAAAGTACCTTTCCTGTATTTAGTGCAAAAGAAACACATTTTATCCCGTATTACTGAGAGAGTAAAAAACAGTCAGTAAAAAGCTAATGGTAAATGAAGAACAAGGGCAGGTTGGATACAAAACTTACGCTAAACTTGTTCCCCTCCCTGTCCTGCGTTGTGACCAATGAGCTGACAGCATATATGTAAGGATCCAGAATCCCCTCATCCCATTGGTCGAGCCAAGTTTTGCTCACGGAGAACATAGCGGGAGACAACAGAGCAGGATGGGGGACAAACGGAGTCATTTAAATACCGACGCCGCTTCTGGGGGCGTTGCACCTTCACATAGCGATGCCCCTCAGCATCCCATCTTTCACTGGTTTGGTGGAGAGGATTTCACAACTGAAGTCTACAGTCATTGAATTTAACGCACAAATATGTTTAAAAGTTTGAAGAAGTTTTCTGTTGCACCAAAAATGTGCACTATTTATTTATTGTTTTTTATTCATTTTTACAGTTTGAAGTTAAGCAGGACAGGCTTATGTCTAAGATAAATTTTGTTATTTGTATTAAAGTGATTAGCTGGATAATATTTTGTTTTCATGTGTTCATGTCACTCGCAAATAAGCATCTAATTCAATGCAGATTTGAGTCAAATATTAAAAAAAAAATTATGCACAAAGGGGGGCTAAAACAAAATCCCAACGCCAGGAGGGGTGAAGGCAATTAGGTCAGCTGGCAGCACATGAGGTGTCCCTTTGTTTTTTCCAGGGAGTTGGCAACCCTAGCGACAAGAAACCAGCATTTTGAAAAAGGTGCTTATAGAAGTTTCACAAATAAAATACAAAAAATTATGTTGATCATAAAAATTGTGAAATTAAAACGTGAAAGCCAATAATTTCATTTTTCATTATGAACAAAGACTGCGAAGGACTTGCAACATGTCAAAGGTGTACCCTGCCTCTCGCCTGTCGCTGGTGCAAAATGAGGAACAAATCAAATACTCAGCAAATCGCTTCACATCGCTTCAATACTGGACTATTCCGTATTTTATAGACAATTCCGTATTTTATAGACAATTCCATATTTTATAGGGCGGATGCCAACTCTAGGCTACTTAAAGTTTCCTAATTAATATTATTATTATTCCACTAGCACTAAGCTAACTTCGCCAGGAAAGTTACAGTTATATGAACCTACAGCTGACCATCCACTTACCTTGACTTCTCTGCACTTGACGTTGAAAAAGTCTTCTTGTTGCAGAGAATAAATTCTCTGTATTTCTTAATTCATGTCGAGCACGAGTTGCAGCACTGAATATAGTGTTAAAAACACGAGCATTTGAGGCGGACTGACCTGACATTGTGGACCACTGAATAGCAGAATCAATTAGCTAGCATGCCTAACACCTGTCCGCCAAAATGCTACGCAAATCTCAGACGTTTTTGAAGTATGGCAAGATATCACTGATATCATGTTGACTAGCCAGAATGTCAATTTAAGATATCTTTAATGGAAAAGCTGAATAATTCAAGATATCTTTAATTCATTTAGAGATGTCTTAAGAGGAATTTTGAATAGTCAAAATTACAATTCAAGATATCTTTAAATGTGTTTTGTCTAGTCAATTTTTGCTTTTAAGATATCTATAATTTAGATTTCACTAGTCAAAACTGCATATCTCCTATCCTAAAATCAGACATGGCAAAAGTACTCACTTTCCGTACTTGAGTAAAAGTACAGATACTTGTGTT